AATAAGACTAACCCTAACCCGCCATCTGGTTGCCATTCTCCATTGGGAGGGGGGCGCATAGAGGAACCTGGCCTTGGGGCAGCAGAGAGATAAAATCCAGCCTGGGGCATGTCATTGGATGACAACGTAGGAGCGAAACTGGGAGACAGTTGTCACCTTATAACAGGAAGTGCCTGATCAAGAACATTCACCAGGTATTCTTTTTATGAATGTTCGCATCACCTTTCATCATCTCGTGGAGTCACCAGGCGGCCCAACAAAGTACTGATGGGGGGGGGGTATAATAATCTGGCCACTCAGTGTATAAACAGATTGAAAACACTTGTGAAACTGAGCTAATGTGCTAATGCTTAATTGAAATTGAAGTGACTGGGCTTAGATCTGCTTTAAATACAACTTTAGAGTATTATGTCATCTCCTGCACAGCAACACTCGGACAGGGAGAGGGACCACCGGCTCTAGGAGCCAATCAGGATCTGTTGCGGTGCCGACAGCAGAAGAGAGACGACTTCATCCATGTGCTGCTACTCCTCCTTCACTGTCCTGTCTTCTGTTCCCATTGCAGAGGAGATTTAGGTCTCGTTCACACCTAGGCATATTGCATATGCGCGTCTGTCGCGGTAAAAAAGTCGCACAACAAACGCGCGTTTCCGAAGGCTACTTGGCTGTATGCCAATCGAAACGCGCAACAAAACGGCCCAAAGTAGTACATGTACCTTTTCAGGCGTGGGCCGTTTTGTAGCGCGTTAGGGACGGGCGGAAATACGCCAAGGTGGGAACGAGACCATTGAATACAATGGGATTTATATTTTTGAGCGTTTTGTAGAGCGTTCGTCGAGCGTAGAACGCGCTTCAAAGCGTTCAGGTGTGAACGAGGGCTTAGGACCTGGCCGCGCTGTCTGGCAGTCATGTCTGGATTACAAGACTGGCTGAACATGGTTCCTGGCAGGTAATGTCGTTTCTATGCCTTGTATAGTTCAGCTCAGTTTCTTTGCTGAAATTCAACTTTTAACTATAAAGGAGGTCAACTTTGCAAGAAGAGGTGAAGAATCCCGCCTGAGGAGATGTCACGAGATGATGGAAGATGGCTGCTGGGTAGGGAACGGCCACAGTAGACAGCACAGTGAACGGGCAATATTGAAGCGTTGGCTTTTGGTGGATTGTTTAGATTTTTAAGGTGGGAGTTGTATTACTAGAGCGAGGAGGAGAATTCCAGAGAATGGAGGCTGACTAAGTGATCTCAGACTGAGGGTATGAGTAGGGAGGGCCTCAGGAGGTCAGCGGAGGAGTAGAGAGGACAGCATGAGAAGCAGGGGCGTATCTGCCGCGAGGCAAACAAGGCGTTTGCCTGGAGCGGCAGATTC